CTTGGAATAAGTTACCCGTTGACGTTATATAGAGATATTGCAAAGGTAAGCCTGTTACACTGTAGCGAAAATCAGTCTGATCGACCGGCTAAAGTGAAGATAGCTCGCTAAAGCAAGCACATTCGCTTTGATCAGCATGGTTATCATCTTAGTTACCGTCGTCGTCCAAAGCGTTCTTACTCCCGCGGAAAACCGTGGCTCTTTTACCTTACCGTTACTCACAATAAATGATGGCATATTTCAGGCTGTTGGCGTTATTTCTTTTGGTATGTGCGCTTCGTCAGTCATGTTTTAAACTGAGCATTACAAGGTAGCTAACGAAAGCTAGCATTCGTCTGTCAACATAATTCTCTCCTAATTTACGGCTCCCTAAAGACACCAACGATAGACCGCTTTGCAAAGGTGACTCACTACTCTACGGGCATCTCCATGCTGGCATGTATGACTATGGCCCTCGCGGGCTTCCTCACCTTCGGAGATAAGACGCTCGGAAACGTGCTGAACAACTTCCCGGCCGATAATACGATGGTGACGATCGCGCGGCTTTGTTTCGGGTTGAACATGCTCACGACACTACCACTAGAGGCGTTCGTCTGTCGGGAAGTCATGATGAACTATTGGTTTCCTAACGAACCCTTCAATATGAACCTGCACCTGATCTTCAGCTCCGCATTGGTCGTCTCGGCCATGACGCTGAGTCTGCTGACGTGCGATCTCGGGGTCGTATTCGAGCTCGTTGGTGCGACGAGCGCCTGCGCGCTGGCGTATATCTTGCCGCCGCTGTGTTATATCAAGTTGAGCTCAAGGTCGTGGAAGACGTACGTCGCCATGGGCATCGTGGCGTTTGGGTGTTCGGTCATGGTTATTAGCATGGTCCAAGCTATTGGCAAGATGATCAAAGGTTAGTTTAGCTGCCGACGTGGCTACCCGTCTTTATCCGTACTAGAGCTGACTTATATCTGTTTTTGTGGTTTTTTTGCAGGCGGGGGCGAACCATCCCAGTGCGTCTAGAGCTATAGAATTTGTCCTTGGCTTTGACCTTGGCCTTGGCCTTGGCCTTGTCCTTGTATATTATCTATACACGTAATGCGAAGCTCCTTTAGGGCTTGGAGTAAAGGGAGGCAAGCTGCATATTGCATACAGCAGCCCGCTATTTAATGACGCCAGTCCCCAGTCGGCATCTAAACGGTCGCGCGATATTTTGAATCATCGGGCAACGCCACCGGTCGATGGCAGCCGTAGCAGCATGGCGAAGTTGCAGGGTGTTGATTCTCCGGGATGGAGAAGTCTGTTATGATTTGAGGTTGGAGGATACTCCAAGGCGTGAAGGGGGATGCGCCTATGTGCAGCTCTCCACCTCGGTCGTCCTACAGGTGCACAGCAGTAGGGTAGGGTAGGGTAGGGTAGAGTAGAGTAGAGTAGAGTAGAGTAGTAGTAGTAGTAGTAGTAAAGGGGGTGTGTGTGGGTTGTATGTATCGCTTATCGCGGGACGATGTGTTTGGCTGGTTTGGCTGGTTTGGCTAGTTTTACGCGGCACTTTGCAGTTTACTTTCTAGGCCAGTCACAGATGGATGACCTAGGATGAGCACATGCACGATTGATTAGATAGCAAGTCGGCGTCTGGATGGGTCGATGCAAAGAACCACTTTAAGACAGGGCCGAAGCCGTTTTATTACCCACGCCAACGCATACGCACATCTCTTATACACCACATATTTTACAATACATATATACCTGTATACCTATATACATATCTACCTACATATACATACCTACATAGGTACCTAACATACACAGTATGCTTCCTAGGATGCACATAGTATACACATAGCATACACATAGCATACACATTGGCGCATATATTGCATATCGACAACAACGTCACGCGCGAGACTTACACAGCGAGACTTACACACCAACAAACGTTCAAGTCCTATTAGTCCTAGACTACCACCCCGTCATCTCCATCGTGGCACATCTATTACCTTAGGCGGATACGTAGGAGACCGAAGGCGAGTTCCGTTACCGTATAGCAGCAGATCCATCTCTTTTCTCTCAATATGTATTTTTTCCTTTCCCTTTCCCTCCACGTACGGCTTATAGCCTACGCGCTACCCCAACTCTAGTAATCCGCGCGGAGAGCAAGCAGCTGACCTATTGACCTATCGATGCCGCTCCCCATTAGGAAGGCTACCACTGGCTCCCACGTCGAGCGGGACCCGTGACTTGGCTAACTAGTCACGGTCTTGTAGATAGGTGATATATCTATATCATATATGATATCCGGGGTGTAATATCTAGCGTGCAATAGGGTGTAGGTAAGATAGGCAGACGGCGAGGAGCGAGACGGGCAGTCAATGTGAAGCATCGTGCGTATGTACGTAGGTATGTATGTATGTATGTATGTATGTATGTATGTAGCTAGGCAGGTAGGGGTAAGGCAAAGGACGGGACGGGACGGGACAGAAGAGAAAACCGAGAGAGAGAGAGAGAGAGAGAGATGGCATTCAGAAACAAGAAACATACATACATACCACTTATACTACTGTAAGCTTCTATCCCCGTTTCCTGCTTGTCTCCGATCACACCGAACCCCGCTTGCCAATTTATAAATAAATAAAAAGCTCCAGAGACGAGACCCTTTCGATAATCCAGCTAGTCCCCCCCCTTTTTTTTGTCCTCTTATCCACCGCCTTAAATACTCAGTCCACCCGTCGTCACCAGTTCCATCACACCACAGTCAAAAAGAAAACCTTAAACCAAACAAACCAAGATCAGCTCTCGATCTCCCCATCTGTCGTGAGTATAACATAACACTACCTACTTGCCCTCGTCCCCCCCCCCTTTCGTGCTGTGTGACGACTCGTCTCGATCCATCCCCAAGGCCAGCAAGCGCCTAGGGTTTAACTGTCGTGATACCAACCTTACCTTATCTACTCGCTTGTCTTACACATCTATATATACGTATATATGCTATATGTTTATATATATATATACCCGCCTAGGCATCTCCGTCCCTTCTCATCGTAAGATACGAGACAGAGCTTAGCTTTACATGATTTACTTACTCTGCCTTATCCCACGTACCAGCTGCTCCTAGCTAACCAGCAACACAGCAAACAGATCCACACCACACCACACATCACCAAGGACGTAACCGCTCCTCAACCAGCCAGCCAAAATGCATAACTCATCTTGCCCCAAGTGCGGTGTCAGCTTCAACGGCGACACCAAGAAGTGCGATTCCTGCGGCGCTGTAAGTTGAAGCCCTTTTGCTTCGCTTCGCTTCGCTTCTCGTAACCTTCACACAGCAACCCTCATGCATGTTGTATACACATATATGATAACCCTCTCTTACCATATCTTCCTCCTACTCACATCCCAGCTCAAGCCTTGAAAACCCAAGCTAACAACATCCCCAGACCTGCCCCGTGTAAACACACCACCACCACATCTTCCACCATGAAGACGTGGGAGTACCCAAGGGGGACGGGCGGGGGGATGACGGAGTTTCCACGGCGCCGCATTGCCACCAACCAACCAACCAACCAACCCCAACCCCAACCCCAACACCAAATTCCAACCTACTAGACCATTCGTTTCTTTCCACCGGTATTCGGCGTAGATAGGGGGCAGGGCAAGGGCAAGGTCAAAGGGGAAGGGGGGGAGTTCGTTGTACAATGTGATATTCCAGGGCGATACGGGGTCAGAACCCCTCCCCTCCCCCCTTTTTTTTTTTTTCTTCTTCTTAATTTACGAAGGCATCAGAATAATAGGGGCAAGGGGCAAGGACGGCCGGCGGGCTCGACAGGTTTCTTCTAATGCAGTCAGTCAGTCGGACGAACCGAATCAAACGAGAGGAGTGTGTTGTTCTGAAAGGGCGGGACAGACAGATACGGAAAGGGAGACGGAAGCATACGTTGGCGAGTATTTTACTTCGGCCTCTACGGCAAACTAATTTACTACCAATCTTACCTACCTGTTACCATCGTTGAACGGTCCTCCTTTTTCCTTTTCCTCCGTTAAGATCCTAGGCGTGGTGTGCATGAAATACCCAAGTGCCCACGGACTCCTCTCCCCTCTCCCCTCTCCCCTATTGGACAGATATGCTATGTAGTAGAAGCAAGCAACGATCACATGTCCACTGTGTTATCATGAACAGCACTAGTAGGTAACATTCTGACCTCATGATGAAAACATGCGCCGAGTACACCGATAAGTAAGTGTTGGTTTCAAATATCTGAACATATCAGCATTGTATCTGTCATATACTAGGAGCATTTTGAATTAATCCATACCGTCCCTCTTTTACTACGGGCTACAGTCAAGGCTAGTACTATAAAACCTCATGGACGCAGTCCTGGAGCTTCCTCAGAGTCATCGATGGAACATTACAAGCCTCCTAGGACCAATCATCTACGAAGGGCAGCACAACAGTTACAAGACGCATATGGGGAACTAGGCAGGACATGACGATTAGTAAGGAGTATGATTGGGAAAAAAAGACAGGTAGAAAGAGTAGCCCCTGCGCAACAAATGTCCGTCTCCCGGTTGGCCTGACGCGGGAATTACCAAGAGCAGTAAAAAGGAGAAGATTTATGATATAGCCGTATTCTCTGGGGTTGTCTCGCCAATCTTGACACACATACCACACGCACAACACACCACCCACATCTCTCTAACGGCAGTACATTGCCCATCCCCCCCCCTTCTCGAACCATGGGAATTCAAATACAACGATACCCGCTACCCCGTCACCAATATACTCCCTTTGTAATATGGGAGACACGCAAGAGTTGACCTGAGTTGCACGCCCACCGAAGCAGTTAAAACGGGAAGACGAATCAAACTCCAGTCGAGACTAGGACGCACAGGCGGTCCAACCCTCCCAGTCCGTCCAAAACCCTTATTCATCTGTATATCTCGTCCGTGAGACGAACCTAGGACGATGATGGATCATGACGGTATGTCGAAGGTATCATAAAGATGTTGTACATTTCTTAAAGGACTAAGCACTTGGAGTGCTTCTTCTGGCTTTTACGAGACAGCAGAGCCGCGCGAGTAGCGTGCTCGAAAACTTCTCGGACACCTTCATTCGTCTTGGCTGAGCACTCAAGGTACTTGTAAGCACCAATCTTCTTGCGAATGTCCTCGCCCTATAGCAATATTAGCGGTTACAAATCAAACAAAGAGTCAAGCTAAGTTCGGAGATAGAGATCCCACGTGTTTCCAAACACCGAGGTTAAATAATGAGTTTGCGATGATAATGATAACTTACCTCCTCAGGGGAGACAGGCTTCTGGCTAGTCTTGCGGAGCTCCTCAATTGTCTTTGCGTCGTAGCGCAGATCCTTCTTGCAGCCAACGAGGATGATAGGCAGGCCTTGGCAGAAGTGAAGGACTTCAGAAATCCACTATCGAATAGAGCACGTGTCAGTAAATTGCTTATCTAGGAAGCATGAGATAACCGGTATGAGATGCGGAAATGCTAACCTTCTCCTGAACGTTGTCCAGAGAATCGGGCGAGTCAACAGCAAAGCAGATTAGGATGACGTGAGAGTCAGGGTAAGACAGAGGTCGGAGACGGTCGTAGTCTTCCTGACCAGCCGTATCCCATAAGGCTAACTCGACGTGCTTTCCATCAACCTCGACATCGGCGACGTAGTTCTCGAAAACGGTGGGGACATAGACCTATTCAAAAATAAAAGGACAGTTTGTCAGCATTGTGCACAACGGCCTATTGATTGTTTATTGGGACGCGATAGACGCTCATGATGGCATCAATGGGCGACGAGGCAGTAGCTCGGAGGGTGGGTTGACGGGACCGACGACCCTTTGTTTCGGTATGACGCGGGCCGTATGTTGAATAGAAGGAGGAAAAGCAATGGTGATGACGAGGCAGCTATTCTCTTACCTCAGGGAACGTTCCCTTGGAGAAAACGCTACAGTTGAATTAGCATGATGGCGGAGACGGGTTTGTTTTGATAAGCGACATACATCAATAAACAAGTTTTACCACAGGCACCGTCACCGACGATGACCAGCTTTCGGCGGAGCTCAGCCATGTTTGGGGAAGAAGATGGTCGGATTTAGGGGGGGCAGAGAAAAGGAACGGGGTTTGCTCAAGGGTATTGAGAGAATATGCAAGAAGAGGAAAAAGAGGTCAAAAGTCTTGATGGATTGAATCCTCGCGATTGTTCGTTATGGGTTCTCCCTTGGAGGTTTGGAGGTTTTTGGATGATGGAAGAAGATGGAGGAGATTAGAGATGGAGAATGTGAGAAGGAGGAAAGGTTGGAAGGTCGTTGCTCAATTGATAGTGGTAGCACCAGCAAGGTAGGATAAGGCAGGCAGGCACTACAGTACATAACATAACATAACTTTTGCTCCAGGTAACCAGGTAGCAGCACCAGCGCCAAAGCAACAGGAAGTAGCGGGTCAAGTCACCAAATAAGGGACAATTGGGGACAAGCACACTGGGCAGAGAGGCACAAGACAAAAAGGTAGGCCTAACCGGGGACAGGGTTTAGTGGGGCTTATTCAATCGTTAAGGGATTTGTAGGCCAGTTTTAGTGGTCGTCCTAGCGGCTTACACTGCCAAAACTCTGCTAAGTCCTTGAAAAACAAAAACAAATACAAATCCGTAACTACATGCAAAGTACCTACCTAAGTTACTCAGTCATAGCACCGCGTACTGTACCCGTTGTACATTTATGCCCGTTTCTACGGATTACATCTCTCGCACTGGCCTGACTGGCCGGCTTTTACTTTCCACTCTCCGTCCCAACCCCCAATCTGAAAGTACTCATTTGTACATACATCCATCATGTGCCCTATGACCTTAGGAGGTACATAAATGAGTCGTCCTTATGAGTCGTCCCTAAAAAGTCCTTTGGCCCTTGCGCCTCGGGTCTCGAGGAGGCAACCCACCAAAACACACATCATTAAAGCCTGGTTAAGGTACCTAACCTAAGGGCCTTGTACCAAGCCACGACACCGTCTTACAGCATTGAAGATACCTATTCCATGCATGTGGACTATGGACTGTTCTCAGTGGGCCTGTGCGCAGCGTCCTGCATTTGAAGCTCATGCTATGCCATGCCATGATATGAGACTCACTCATACGTAAGCAATTCTCTAGAATATATTGATCTACTAACATAGATATAATCCAATGTAAAGACTACCTATCTGCCTGAATCGAAAAGGTCCTGAGATGCTACTGAGGTCATCGAGGTGGATAAAAGGCGAATGTAGCATTCGGGCGCAGCAAAAGTTACCTATATATCACACACTACGAGAAACAGACGGCACAGCTTTCTCATATAGTCATATCTCACAAATGTTAAACCACTAACTAACGCTTATGATGAGTTGGACATATGCTGACTCAGAAGTGTTGATATTGAATAGTTGAAGTTCGATACTTTGAGTATTACTGTATGGATTTCATACATGCATAGTTCACTTCACGCTTCAAAAATGGAGGATCGGGGGATGTTGCCGGCAGATCGGCTCCCAGAAAAAAAATTAGAGACCAAGCTAGGTTAGGCACGTTTGAGTCAAACTCCCCTACCGAGCGTTACGAGCTAGACAAAGCTGGGAAAGGAGCTTGCGTCTTTCTTCACCGACTAAACGTCGCAATAGCCCTTCGTTGATCCGGGCTCTTCAGCTGAACAGTTGTGGCTTAGATATTGACATATTATTCCAAGTTCCGAAGTTCCTAAGCTCCTAAGTTTCCACGCTCTCTCCTATCGCGCGATCTGTTTCTTTGTCTGCTGCTCGTCGATACGAGTTGTGGGGGGTTCGGCATTCGCGTAGTGTAAGAGCCCTGGAGTTGTTATTTTGTTTCATTCGGCCAACCCGTCTCGGAATTCTCCTTTTAACTAACATACATACCTACCTCCTAACATACCTATATATGTAGTATCTCTCATACCCCTTTCTCTTTTCTTGGATTACACTATCGTATTTATTGCGTATAAGACACTGAGAATCCCCCTATTGTTTACAGAATTAGTTAGGCCGAGGCTGCAAAGCCTAGTAGTTTTCTGTGGCTTGGCTTCGCTTGTGATTTGGAACTAACTGGCTCGACTACGCATGTATATTATGTACGCGTACCGCATTGACACTATACGAATAAAACTTGCAGCGTTTTGATAGTATCATATCGATAATGGGGTTTGATACGAATCAACATATCGAATTACATAGCAGATCCGCATGTAGATGAAACGTACTTACATAGTAGAATGCACACTACTTACAACTAACTAAGGAACATGAGACTTTGCTAGTTTGTTTAAACGGGGCGGTGTTAGTTAAGATCAACTAGTTGTCTCGTTTTGCTGAAGCTCTAGTTCATCTCGCATCAAACCGTCAGGGTGGATTTTACCGGCCGAAACCTTTGCATCCTATGCGTTCCGTTGCATCTTTAAACCTTATCATACGATAATAGCTTTCCGCCTGTTATATTTGACCTAGTTATGTAGAACACCAGGGACTTGCGGGGAGACTGGGAAAGAGTACAGGTCAATTTGATTCACGTCATAGGATCTCATTTGGGTAAGTTTCAATACATACATTTTATAACTATGCCTTTTCATATAACTATATGATAGGTGGGTAGATAAGTTCAACGGTGTCCAAGTCCGGAATAATAAACGCTTGCAGAATAACGAAATCCTGCTCTTAAAAAGCACCATCGAATACGTTCATCTTCTTAGACAATAATTGCAGTTACCACTATATCAAATGCCTATTCATTGCCAATATGGCGTCAAAGTTTGAACAGGAAGGTCGGACAGGAACAATTAGCATTTGGTCTTGATAAGCTTAAGCTCAAGCTCAACTACGACATTAAATATGCAAGATACCTGGACCAACATCTTTTTACGACAAGGTCATGACATGGTCACAACGGGCACGGGTCCTATGGGTCTTGGCATACAAGGGTTAATGTACTTAAATTTAGGTACCTTATCTACCTAGGTAAGGGCAACTTGGTTTCGTCGGAGTCTAGATTTTCCGCGCATTCTTAATCCACCCCACCTAAGAGTCTTTCAATGGCACTAAGCTACCTAAGGCTCTAATCCAATTGGACCAATTACATGCATTCCAAAATTTTGGTCTCTAGAGAGCAGCTTTCAATTCAACCCGCGCACACGATGAGGCCGTAAGAAACAACCCACCTAGTGTCCTCTCGCGAACCTCAGTCCGTCCTGCCCCTCCGAACGGAAGGTGCCCCCCCTAAAATGCAGAAGATCCTGCGCCGAGTGGCTACCGCCGAGCGGGTGGTCGCCAAGCGGACCAAGACCAAAGACCTCAAGTGGTTCAAGAAGCAGAAGAAGGAGACGTTTCAGGATCAGCAGCAGCAGCTGGGGATGGTCCGAGAGGAACTCAAAGCCGCGAAGCAAGCCGTGAAGGACGACTGGGAGTTGGGCCCCCTCGCCCCAAGACGAGACGTTGGCGAGTGGGCCGGTGCGAAGGGCGCCATTCACGAAGCTCGCTACGCTGGCTATGGCAAGGTCACTCTCGCCATGCGAAATCGCCGGTGTCAATGGGCTGGCGGCGCTTACCACCTTAACATCGCCTTGGGGGACAGAGTCGTGCTAATCGACGGCCCGGATAAGGGGCGCATCGGCAAGATAAAGAGTATAGACTACGATAAGGCCGAGGTTGTCATCAACGAGTTGAATAAGGTAATCTAGTTCCATATGGCGTTGTAACGCTCGTTATACTAGCGATTCAAAATAGCTGACACGATATGAATTACACAGAGCAATATCCGAGTACAACCAGAAATCCGAGACGAAGACGAATCCCCCGTTATCAACATGGAACTCCCCATACCCATCTCAAGCATCCGACTCGTCCATCCCATCAAAGACCCCGCGACAGGCGTCACCCGCGACGTCATCATCAACCAGCTAGTACACGGGGGCTTCCTGCACGACCGCGTATCCGGCAAGCGGCGGTGGTCCCGCATCGTTCCGGGGCTGAACATCTCGATCCCGTGGCCTAAGAAAGAGGAGAATGAACTCAAAGACTACAGCTGCGACACGCTGCGTATCGATGTCGAGGACAAGACCTTCGTGCCCACGCTCCTGCGCCCGCCCATGCCCGAGGCCGTCCTCGACGAGCTGCGCAACAAGTACAGCCGCTTCCGCACGCGCCACGACCCCGAGTACATCGCGCGCCTGGAAGCCGAGGAACAGGCCGTCGCCGACCGCCGCAAGCTCATGGACTCGATGCGCACTCCGCTACAGGAGTTCCACCGCGCCCAGCGTGAGGGCAAGAAGAAGAAGGGCAAGCCCCGTCTCACCCAGGAGATGCTCGAGAAGATCGGCGAGGTCATGGCTAAGAACTTAGAGAGGACGCGAAATGGTCAGGCTCTGCTGGAAGCTGCCAGCAACAGCGGTGTGGCGTCGGCTGAGACGGCCGTATCACCACCTCCTACAGAAACGACGGCGACGGTGGAAGAGACACAACCTCCGCCATCCTCAACATAAAATTAAAAATTAAAAAATGGTTGTAGAATATGACGCTACTTAGACCTGTAACATAAATGTACATATTTGCATTCAGGGCCACGCGGAGCATCAAACCAACTTCGTATTCCTTCCTAGGCGTAAATCCCCTATGTGAATGATTCCCTACCTCCTATCTAGCCAGTACTTTTATCTATGCCCTGAACCACCCCTTCCCTACCTACGAGCCGAGCAACGACAGCCTTTCCAAGGCCGTGATAACAGGCGGTTCCTGCTTCTTCCACTTAGCCTCGAGGTTCTCGTATAAAACCGCATCCGCACCCATAGGCCTCCACTCATCATCCTCGTCTCCTTTGCCTTCTTCGCCAGCCGGCTTATTTCCAGCACCCGCGAACACCTCCTTAACGGCTACCTTGCAGGCCTCGGCTACCTCCGCAGCCAGTGCCTCGAGAGCACGAGCACGTTCGTGCATGCCACGGCGCACGAGCGCAAAGACAAGACGCTCAGCATCTGGCTTTGCACCCTCAACGCGCTCGACCAGTCGGCGAACGCTGTTGACGAGGTACTCCTCCTCATA